TTATTTCACTACATTTTTATTGAAAAAAATACTAAATCATATTATTGCCTTTAATTTTTTAGAGAATTTTTCAATTTTCTGTTATTATATCACTAAGAATTAGACATATTATAGGTGAGACGGGGATGGTAGAATAATAAAACCTTTTTTTTTCATTGAAACACACTGAAATTTCCATTTTCAGTTCATAAAGTTTGCTTTTGTCTTACGTCGATAAGTATACTTTAATTTATTTTGTAAGCCAAAGATGGCAGCACTTTGACTGATTTGAAAATAAACTGTGTTATTATTTGTAAGTAGCATCAAAGTGGTCTATCTGAGCTCAGAAAATGGCATCAAGACAGTGTAAATATGATGTTGATTCATTTTGTTTCATTTGTGCTGAATTCATTAAAGTTAGAAGTAAAAAATTTGCTTTGTCAACAAATTTGCAATTTTCCGAACCCTATGAAGCCTATTTGCATTTGCATTAATTGTAAAAACAATATATCAGGTAATAAATTGAAATTTAACGTTTTTAAAAATTTTGACCAAATTTAAACCATAATAGTCGGAATTTAATGTCTAGCTTAGTATGGAGGGGAAACCCGGCGTATGAACTTTGCAATGCCAAAGCTTTGGAGGGATCAGGTGCGTGAATGTTATTTTTGTATGGTTATCCAAGTAAGCGTTGATCTGGTGAAAATGCTAAAAAAAACATTTCATCCTGGTCTTCCTTCGTCCTCAACTCCGATACCACATGATGAAAATTTTCTGAAGTTCAAGCAACACAAAGTTCAATAGAATCCGGTACACCACTAACCAACACTGGGCCACATTTTATGACTTCAAATGAATTCAATGATTTAGTATGAGACTATAATAACTGGTCAAAGGGAGCGGCATAAAAGTTTTTCATGTTTTTTCATAAAAGAAGCCGGTGCTTGTTACTATAACAACGCGACTGAATTGTTTGCGACAATTACATATAAAATTAGGATTAATGAATCAATATGTGAGAGCTTTTAAATATGTAAGAGATTTTTTTTCTAAGTTATCTGAAGCTAAAGTTAAAAATAATGACAAATGACTCACCAAGTTTCTTACTTGTGGAAAGCGATACGTGTTGACCGGTGTTACTTTTAACCTTTGAGATGGCCGTTCCTCTTCCTGGCGGAAATCTAACAATATTTTCCACGATTTTCTTTTGCTCACTTTCACAATAATTTTTTTTACCGCAATTCAGAGAGATCAGAGAAATCAGACGTTCCAACCAGATACACAAAATAGGCTTTCTGGGCTACGATGAGTGCTGGATGAGGAGGAGAGGTGAACCAACAGCGGATAATTATAACCAATTGATACTCCAAACTAGAGGCTGCAACTTAAGAATCTAAAGGACAAACCTAAACATTACTTAAACCTAACCTAATCTAATCGCTTGCTTACTCAAATACACTCTGTAAATAATTAATAATGATTACGTCCATCTACAACTCTAATTGCAAGAACGATTCGACCAGGAATAAAAACGCCTCAAGTATCTGGCGGCCCACGCAACATCTAATAGGTACAAAATTATCGGCTCTCTGATTCCAGCTGGCTTCGTTAACTTTATTTCGATTTATCACTTCCCCCTAGTGGTAAAGAGCGAACCAATATAAATTTCAGCTGGTCCCATATTTGTAGCATTTTATGCTACTGCCTTTTTATTTTAAACGTATGAGATAACGTCATTTTATAGAAGTCACATTATAGTCGTACAGGGTGATTTAGCGATACAGTAAACTTAATCATCTCATTGGTTTTTAAGGTTATGAGAAAATGGTAGATCTAAAAGTTGCAAAATTTAAAACTGATTTGAAAAGTGACATGGTTTGTCTTGAATTCCTTTTAAAAATTTATAAATTTATAGTTACTAATAATACATACCTAAGCTTATAGTTTTTACAATGTTTTCATTTTTCTAAAAGACTACTACTAATTTTCACACATGCAAAAAAATCACGAAAGCGACATAATTTGTAAAGGCAGATCACTCATATTTGACACTACCATTCTTCGAATGTGACGTAAAATATTTATGCAACGAAATTTGAATTAGATGCACTAGGGTATTTAAAATATTTAAAATATAAAAATATGAAAAAAGGAAGAAACCTACAAGTTTTACTGAGTATGTCATATATCTATTCTAAATTCTAAATTCTAAAAACTGGCCACGTTGCAACTCTTTCTTTGGTGAAAGGTAAAACAGTTAATTCGGAATGGTAGACAACCGATCTGTGCAAGCAAAGAAGTTTTTGAACATTTAAAACGTTGATTTGATGAGCTATCCACCATACAGTCCTGATTTAGCACCTAATAACTTCTTTTTATTATGTGGGCAACGATTTTTGACACTAGTAGAAACGATTGATGCATTTAAAAGGCATGTTTTGCATGTTTTGGAGGTGCTCGAACCGATGTGGGAAAAGTACTTTGATGAATAAAATCAGATACATTCCAGAATCTGGGAATTCTCTTAGACAGCAAACTTAGATTCAAAGAACACCTAAAAAAATATTTGAAAAATCCTTGGCCTCCATGAAAGTTGAATGAAATAATAGACATATTTTAAGTAAACAACTGAAACGAAGTTTGTGTGAATCCCTGGTCCTCTCCAATTTCAATTACCTGTGACTTTGTCTATGGTGTTTGTGTGAATCAGAAAAGTTAGAAGCATGTTCAGTAATTACAAAATGCATGTATTGGGTTTGTCTATTGTTAGAGGAAATTTAATCATGTATTATACAATGACATAAAATGGCTCAAAATGAATCGGCGCATAATCCTACATTTATCGACATTTTTGTTTAATGTAATAAATAATCTTAATTCGCCAGTTTCCACAAAAAATCGTTTAATATTTCGTAACACTGTAAACAATATCAATATCAGAAATACTGCCAAATTAATCATCATAGCTCTGCAATCTTTCAGCGTTCATTTTCATACCGTAAAGTATTCCAACTCAATTCCCAACCAATTCCTTGACATGTCATTACATAATTTCAAAATTAAGTATAAAAAATATCTTCCAAATCTCTATTAACGGACTTAAACTAAAATAACTTATGTAGTACTTACATATTACCGAGTCCAAAATATTATAAAACCAATTAATTCTCCCTCAATTTTATAAACTAAAAATTACTTTAATGCACATGATTTGCTTTTTCTGTAACTTAATTTCACAGGTATAATTGCGTAATTTCTCTAGATAAAATGTTTATAGTATTAATATAGTATTGTTAAACTATGTTTGTATCTGTTTGGTTCAGTTGAATAGCCGATGGCTAGATTTGCAAAACTAACCAAAACTAGAACAGATAAATGAAATTATTTATTTTTAATAACTTTGTCATATCATATTGTTGAAAAACAGTCATTATTATTAATATTATTATTATAAAATTGATGGTGTTGACAGTAAACTAAAAAAATCGAAGTATGGATTTTCCTAAAGCTGAATTAATTGATATGATTTATGTACGGGGTGAGTCGGCAAAAAAAATACTTTTTCTACTCTAAAATACCTGATTACACACCGATCTAGCGTGTGGGAATCGTCACTTTACCACGTGAGTTTCGTTTCCTACGAATCCGAGCTACTTCGGACATTTCCGGGATTTTACCGCACGGGTTTGGGAGCAATCGGATGTTTTCGGAGATGTTTCCCACGCTTTGAATTTTGGCATTTGTCAATTCTGACGGTTATGTCAGTGAATGTATTTGTGTTGTTTTACGAAAATGTACCCAAAAACTGACGGTCGTAGAAAAAGTATAGCATGCAACACGTTCGGTAAACTTTTTAATTTTAACTCACTCGTTTATTAAAAACTCGTGAGTGAAATGCCGTTTACCGCAGTTGTTGCATAATATACTATTTTTGGTGGTAAGACTTCAGAAAAATGAAATACCCTAATAGAAGTATACCAACTAGACAATCTCTTCAGTGTTTAATGGAATGGTTTGGTGCTGGTCGTAAGTATGGAATACGAAAAACGGAAGTGGTGGAATGCGACCAATGAGGAAATAGAATTGGAAATTTTAATTCAAGTTCAAGATAATCCCCAGATCACTAGCCGTCAAGTAGCTAGGCCTATATGATATATCTCAATCAACCGTTAATGGCACCACTAGAAAACAAAAATATCATTCACCAAGAATTTTGAACCAAAGATAAACTTGTGCGCCATTATCAATGCAGCAGTTATCGATGCAACTACATTTCACAGTACTGGTGCAGTGGATCGTCAAAACAATCAACAGTCAATCCACTCTGGGTATGGGAAGTTCTACACCAAAACCATTGGTTACTTAATATGTGGTGTGGAATAAAACACTTTAAACTTAAGGGCCCAGATATTTAAACTTCTCTTTCAAGCAATTCAGAACACTGAGCACCAATAAATGTGATTTCAGCAAGATGGAGCTCCTCCGCGTTACCATCCGAGAAGTTAAAAAAAAATTAAGTAATCTTTACAAACAGAAACGGATTGGTAGAGGGAGATTCATTGGATACCCCCTTGATCACTAAATAAATATATTTCTGTGAGTTTATGTAAATCCTCCTGCAATACCAGGAAATATGGAAAATAAGATTCGCAACACGCGCAGGAGAATTATACCGTTTATGGTAAAGAACGTGCAAGAAAATAAAGCACTACACATGTATATCCAAGTAGTAGGGCATATTTAAGTTCAAAATTAATGACGCTATCGTTTTTTTTTTGTAAATGTGAGAACTAGTATTTTTAAAAAAATTTAAAATTTTCGAAAACTGTTAGGTTTGGGTAGGTATTATTATCAATAATAAAAATCAAGAATTTCAGACCGAATTCAAAACAAACTAACTTTTGAAACCAATGAGATAATAGAACTTACTCTCTCCATGAGTGTGTTACCAAATTTTCCCAGTGAATTAAAAGCAACATTAAATAAAAATCAATCAATTTTATTCCTTTTATTTGGTACTTTTAGGATATAATATATGAAAGAATAAACTGGCAAGTCAATTTTGTAATTTGGAAATTTCAAGTATCTAAACCAAAAAGCGACTTATAAAAACAACAAATTAAGATCAAGATAGGGTTTCTTCATCTGTAGGATCAAAATTGACTTGGAAAATTATCTGCTCAATATACTGAAACAAGATTTCTTTTCAATTTCCTACAAACTTAATTCAACATCAACATATTTATCATAACCATAAAGGAATCGATTTTGTATTGTAAGAATTTAAATAGTTTTTAGCTTGAAAGACAAAGGAGAATAGAAAACTATACTGAGAGAAGTAGATTATGCTTACCTTAAAGGAAGAAAATACCCAGTTGAAGAAACGATTGTGGGTATATAGAAAAAAATATGGTAAGAGTGTAGCAGAAGTGATTACAAAGGTTGGATGTGAAATTATGTGAAAGTAAATTTAATTATTATATTTTATTATGATTTTTTAGAATTTTCAAGATTAGCTAAAAAACACAGAATACCAATCAATCAAAAGGTCATTGAATATAATAAAAGTGGTCAACTGGAGAGAAGAAATCTTATAACGAGAGGAGATTTAGCACATCTGATGAGACAATTTGAAGTTGATGAAAAAGATGTAGATGATTCCATTTGAGGAAAAGCGAGTGATGCTGCAAGTTATACGTTTAATTTTCAATTTGTTACAGATTGTTTTGCAAAAAACGAGTAGCTTTGCTCGCAGTTTGGATGAACAATCTTTTATCCAAGAAACGCAGACGTAAATTCTCAAAAAAAAATAATAAGAAGGAAAACGTATACACTCCTACTATGGCACGAAGGCACTATTTATATTGCTAGGTTATGTTTATGGATTATTGGTGAAACTATACAATGTACAAGTATAAGTACTCGTTCAGTAACATAACATTCAGAAGAAATCTGCTGCCTTCTTACGCGCGTCAAAATGTCACATAAAATTACCGCATTCAATTGTTTTTCAGAAGCCGTTGCTGCACTGGATTTGGGATTATTTATACATTTTAACAATTTTGGAGCTATTTTTTTTACAATAAGTTAAACAAACCTTGTACTTTGAAAACAGCAGAAAAATACATTTTCTTTCTGTGAAATAATATACAGGATGTCTCCTAAAATAATTACCTGATTGGAAAAAAAACATTTTTTTATTTTTTTTTGTTCAACTTTTATATAAAATATTTTTTCCTATCTTTCCAGATATCAAAATTAAGAGGGGTAGCGAATTATGAGGAAAGCCCCAGTATATTTATATGGGGAATGGGCCCGCCAAGTCAGCAATGACATACAGTACGACACAAAAAAGTGATAGTGGATTAAATTCAGAAATAGTACCAAATAATCTGGTTTGAGTGCTTGTCGTGTGAAATAGGAAAGAAAATGTTTAATTCACTTTAGCCGAATGATTTTCAGAGATTTAATTAAACTAACACCAGACGTTGGCACACTTTTTGACTAAAATCAAACATTTTTGGTTAGTAAAATTTCATCGGTATTTTTCCATTCCTTCACAAGCATGTCGAACTCGTCCAGCAAATCGTTGCTGAAAGTCCTGTCTTCCAAATCACTAAAAACGTCGGAAAACTCATTAGCGTTAAGGGAACCTTCGCGTACGATCTGCACTTTCGCTACCACTCCCTTTACAACTAACAAAACTACATCTAATTTCGGGCTACTCGACACTACTCGTGTTATTTTAAAATCGGGTGTCTTCAAAAACCGCCACTCTAGACTCAACAGACGTTCTCTGATCTTTCGCAAGCCCGGAAAAGTGTCTTCTTCACACCCGATGGTTTGTAAACGACCCGTGCCACTCAAGTACTCCGAAGCAATAGCTTCCCTCACACTTTCAACGTCCAAGTCGGCTTTCAGCTCAGTTAAATTTATAATTCTCGACTTTACGGACTTGGTGGCGTTGGTTTCGACGTCAGACAGTGGACTATTTAAAGCTTTCCTCAAGCGATCCTTGTTTACATCCACCAGGAGTGTACAATGGTGATACGCCGTCGTCCTTCCCAATTTAGAAGCAGTACCCGATACTTTAAAATCTCCTACAACCAAATCTTCTCTGGTGGAAATATCCACTTTCAATCGGAAAGCTTTATATAGAGCTCTCGATATTAATTCCAAATTAGTTTTCCGATTGTAGCATTCCCTAGACGTAAAAAACGTCAAATTTAAATTTCCCATGTCGTGGTAGACAGTCCCACCGCCGCTGTTTCTTCTGGCTAACTTGACTCCTTCAGATGTGAGCTGGGCGCAATTGCACTCCAACCAGGGATTTTGGTGCCGACCGATCACCACACATGGCTCGTTTTGCCACAGCATCAGCAAGTTGAAGTTTTTGAAGTCAGAATTGTTATATATAAAGTCTTCTACAGCAAGGTTAGTGAATATGTCGGTCGATTTCGATACGTAAACGGTCTTTTCTTCGCACTTCGTCGAAAAGTACGTTTTTGGGTCGAGTTTCAGCCTGTGAAGTTTACGGAGCCAACTCATTGTTGATTGGTGGCTGCTTCACAGATGTAGCGGAACCATTTCGATGACAGCCTACAATAATCAGAAATGTACTTGATAGTTTTTTGTTTTTCAAAGAAATTTCCATAGGCACACTGTAGACTACATCCACAACAACCAAAAACTATTTACAAATTTTTTGGGTTCCTTCTACCTGGATTGTTGATGAATCAAATTTGCTGATGTTTCGCCAATCATCCTGTTGATTTCTTCAGAGCTTAACTGATACCGGCTCGCACTGTATTCTGTACCTGTTTACATACTGTTTAAGGGAGGCGGAGCAATAGGAGTGACATGAACCTTGTCTCGGATGACTCATTTTCTTTATTGGTGATCAAGAATTTAGTTTTATCGAATAAGATTTGATATCTGCTTTCGAGATTATATTTAGCAATTGCTGATGTGTTTGTCGTTTTCATGTTCCTTAAACTTAGTTGATATTGTTCGTCTGCTATAAACTCTATGTATGTCAAACGGAATTTTGTCTTTGACGGATAGAAGATGTTGAGGAATTTTATTTATTTCTTCTTAAGATGTTTTAAAATCCGAGAATCTGGAACCAAACCTTCTCGTCTTAATTGAAAAATTCTTGCCTCGAACATATTTTTCTTTGCAACTTTGGGTCCCACGTACCTACGCATCATACGCACATAGACCGATACCATAACAAATTGTCACATCACCATCCGACTGAAAAATCATCGGTTATCAACTCTCTCTTTACCGTAAAACGATCTCAACCTGAGTCGCTGAACCAAGAATTAAAACAATTTACATCTGCTCTTTTCTCTAATAATTTCTATATTAGGGAGATTAAGCGTTCCATCACAAAATACCACAACCTTCCAAAGATAATGAGTCCAAAAGCAACCCCACATTTGCCACTGTTATCCTTCCTTACATTCAAAGCGTCACTGACCACATATCAACAGTTCTTAAGAAATATAACATTAAAACCAGATTTACCACTTGCCCAAAACTCTTTCAACATCTTCCGTCAAATATAAAATTCCATTTGAGATATCAGTCATTCGGGACAATGTTTATGCCCTTGATTTAGGTCCGTTCCCATCAAACAAAATATAAGAAGGTATAGAGTAGAATGCGAGACATTTTCAGTTAAGCTCTGAAGAAGCCAACAGGATGATTGGCGACAGATTAGCAAGTTCGATTCATCAATAACCGACCCAAGAGGAATACAGAAGATTTGTAAATAGCTTTTTGTTGCTGTGGATGTAATCACTTTGAGGTAGGTAAATTAAAATGCTGATGTAAGACTTTTAAAAGAAAAGCCACCCCCCACCTCTTGCAAAAAAGTGACCTGACCTAAAAGTCCAAGCAAAAAATGAACACAATCGAAATTATAGTGCAGATCTTTGTCTACAAAGCCCACACAAAATGAAATGTTAATAAAGAAGTGTCGGTGGTATACCTGTGCTTATCTACTTCGAGCTCGTTTCCATTGAGAGAGTTCTCGGCCGCTTTCGTTTAAAAGTGACTTTTCCTGTATGTCTAGTCCTCTATTGAAATATACCTATAACCTTGACTGCAAATCAAGCAACTCTCGCTATAACAATTAGAACACAGTGTTCTACAGAGCAAAATAACTTTCATACAGTTGCATCGTTTTCCACATCTTTTTTTGCAACCGCAGGATATGAGCTCAAGGATTACAGTTGAATTTGGCATTAAAATTGTGTTAGTTTTTCTTCAGTTCCATTCAGTTCAACTTCATCCTCGCCACAAAATGTCTGAATGACTCGATTAGGCAACCAACTCAGGCGACGACGCAAGTGTAAATTTGTTCTCAGTTCTCGCAAGACCATCTTTTGCCAATGGAGGATTATATAATACGGATATCACTTCTTGTAAATCGTTTCTTGTATTTATTAAAGTTCTAGTTTTCTTTTACAAAAGCAGGCAGAACAAGTGGTGTCACAACCACTAGTGGCATGGGGAAATAAAATATGATCTTTGCAATCCTCTAACACTGTTGAAATAGTGGGAACAATGCAACTTTTCTTTAATGTTTCTTTGAGCATCTTTCAAATGACCTCATTCAATATCATGCTCAACAACAATGTGTTTCTCATAATTAATGGCTTTGTTGATGATGATTCAGATATGTTTATTAGTTGACCAGCAAAATGCTCTTTATTGGCAAGATTATTCAGCAAATTGTTACGCAAATCACTAATTCGCGTGTCAATGTCATTGTTTTTTTCATAAAATTTTTGTCATCAAAAATGGAAAGTGGAATTGTAAAATGACTGTTAACCTTGTAAGAAGGAGTCTTCGAAGTCGGTGGTGTTAACTTGGATCACACAGTCGCCGCTAATGTGACTAGTAAAAACTTCTGGAATTCCCCTGTGTCGGTTATTGTTAAATATCGAACTTGCTGACGTTGGCTTCCTCAGAGCTAAACTGAAACAGTTTCAGCTCACGATGGAAGGGGAATCCAGAAGTTTTGTAAATAGCGATATAGCACAACAACGTGATAGACTTGTTTGAAATGGCGATGCTGCAGAGGAAGATGATTAAGCAGTTATATGTCATTAAGGAAACATTCCTACAGGAGACACCACATGATGGTATGGAAGGGGCACTAAAGTACAAGAAGCAGAGAATAAAAAAATATCATACGACCACTTAGACTAGCCCATAAGTATTTTGCCTTAAATGGTAGAGAAAAAACTGCTCTTTAATTTCGGTTTTGTTCATTTTTTGCTAACACTAATATTATTATTTATTATATAATATTACCAGTTTTTGCTAACATGAATCTTGAATTTTCTTCTAGGAATTTACATGTAGAAATGACGAAATTGTTTCTTGTACTATTATAGCTACACAATGTTACTTATGAAGGCTCGAAAGAATCTCCAAGCTTTGCCTAAGAACTTTAAGTTTCAATTTTCTTGCTGTCGGTTTAGAGAACACCAGTCAAGTGTCAAAAAACAAAAACAAACTTTCTCATAACACCCAAAATGGAACATGGGAGAGTATTACCCAGTTAAAGATTTCCGAAGTAAACCAGAGGTAACCAATGATCTAAACAGTCTCTGATACAAGCTACTATATTATGGCTTAATATCAGCCATCACGTAATTTTCGTTACTTTCAAAAAAATGTATTCAATACCTACTTCTACTTATTGCCAACAACTTTTAATTTTCGTGAAACTCACAATGGTACAATATATTTAATATTCAATGAATTCTCTCTCTATAAACGAGAAAATTTCACGTAATTTACTGTTTTCTGGCCCAATATTAAATCAGAACGTATCATTTTCTGAATTAAAAAAAAATACGTACTTCTAGTTCAACAACTTTTGATCCTAGCTTAATCCACACTGACATAATGAGTACATTATTTAATGTCAGAATATTACCGAAACAATTTGATATAAACTACAATTTTCTTTCTTAATTTTTGTCGAGACTTTTTCAAAAAAAAAAAAAAAAAAAACCTACTTCTAGTTCAACGACTTTTGATTTAAGTTTAATTTACACTGATACAATTCATTCATTATTCAATGCCCTCATGAGTGATAGAATGTGTTCAGAATTTCACGGATACAAACTGCTATAAACTACAATTTTCTGGCCTAATGTTATGTCAGAAAATATCATTTTCGGAAAATTTTCAAAAATATATATTAAATTCTTACCTCCAGTCCAAGGACTTTGATTTTAGTATAATTCACACCGGTGCGCTATAATCAATATTCAATTTCTTCATTAGTGACCGAGTAACAGAATGATACAAGATAGTTTCTGTGATCTTGAGTCATTCAACGATGTCAATGTGGTGATGAATCATTTTTACGACAAAATATTTGCGATTTTCGAAAATTTTGTACCCATATGAAAGTTTGTGATAAAACGTATCCTGTTTATGTCTCTAAACAAATTATTAAAGACATAAAAACCAAAGAGAAATTAAGAATGAAGAATTACAAAACTAATAATGCAGAATTAAAAAACCAATTCCTTCCGAACCAAAATAAAACAGGATATAAAAAGGCACACGAAGTTTACTTAAATAAAACCCAAAAAGACATCGCGCAAGATTCAATATCATTTTGGAAGTAATTTAAGGGCAAAAAAGAAGAATTGATGTACCAAATGTGATTCATTTAAATTATGTTTTAGTTCCACTTTTGCCATAGATGGTTTTAATCACTGTGATAGCTAACATCAAGTTTTTGATTATGTTTGTCTGTCTGAGGTCCAATATGAAGGACGACTATGATGCTGTCCAAGGCCTTAAGAGTAATAAGGAAGAAGATCCAGATGATATTCCTTTCTTTATCTTTAATGGTCTAATTGTTTTTTTTGCTGAGCCGCTTAGGTACTTATTTAACCTCTCTTTAAAGACAAAAACATTTCCTTCAGTATGGACAGAACCAAAAATCTGCCCAGTTTTTGAAAAAGGTGATGTTACTGATATTTGCAACTACATAAATATATTTATTTTTATGCAGCACAGGATATCTATAAGGCAATATAGGTTTTAAAATAAAAATCCTTTTGAAATTATTCAATACACAGGAATTGGACAGGACAAGTCAATTTGAAGTTATTTATACATATTTTACTGGAACGCTTGACAACGTCTTTTCGGCGAAAATTATTCAACAATTTTGGTTTTCATAATAAGCTGATTCAAGTTTTTAAATCATATTTGTATACGAGACCACAGCGAGTTATTTATTATAAGGGGTTACTCTATTATTATGCAACGTTAGATATTTCGCATTGTATTAATGATTTGGTTGATGTAGTTTATTTATTTATGATAAAACTTCAGCAACAATTATAGAGAGGCTATAATAAATAAATTACATTTTAATACCGATAAATGTTTTGTGCCAAACTTAAGTAAAAATAAGAAACAAGTAGATTTTGAATATAAAATTGGGGAAGCAGTGTTGGCTAGAGTTGGCAGTGTAGATGCGGGTCCTTGGTGTAACTTTTGATACTTAGTTATCTTTCGGGGCACAAATAAATTATATAATATGTAGAGCATCTAGAGTCTTATCATAAGAGATTGTAAGCATTATAATTTAATATATCTTAACATTTATCAGAAGTATATTTCAATTTTTCCTTTATATCAAGTCCTGGTTTTGAAACTCGTAAGTATACTATTTAAAAAGTCCAAAATAAGTTTCTGAGGTATTACCGTGAAACTGATGTATACCGAACGCACATACCAAAGACAGAGGTTATTAAATCAAGTCAATACTCATGTTCCAGAGTATGTAACACAAAATTTCCTGAATTTTTATATAGACAATACCCATACTAATAATTATAGCAATTCCCTGATTATTGTTAGAAGTATATTGTGTAATCAAATCCGCTCAGATTTATGGCATTTATCGCCAGTTAGTTAGCTTAAATTTAGTCTTCGAAATATGGAGTTAATTATTATGTATTAGTTACGTTGTTCTGATCCCATTTTGTTAATGGAAGTAATTCTGTTGAATTTGTAAATAAATAAATAAATACTATGGTCGATGCAATCCTTTTCACAAGCGCCATCGATCAAGGAATTTTGGACCGTGCCATAACCAAAAATTTTGGACTCCATTTTGCAGCACCCAATACAATAATGCTGTTATAACTAATTGAATGGATAGCAAATTTATGTACGTACCTTGCACGGACCCGTCTGTTGAAAATGCAAGCGTTCTAATTTTTTAGGTTATAGCCGTTCGCACGCGATGTTTAAGCGATTAAAATTCACCGAAATACAGCGTATCGCGAGTTGCCTAACGGTCAGACGAATCGATACCGCGTGGAGTAGTTTACACCGTCCTATAGTTCGCCGTTGCTACCAAACTGTTAATTCTGGCAAAGCGGTGGATATGCGGCATAAATTTCCTAGTGTACGTTTAATCGTGTGCAGATGGAATTTGGGCAGTTTGACTATTTTATCGGCTACCGAGACTCGGATATTTTTATGATTCTCGGGTGTTTTTATTTTAGGTGTAAACGGGGTTCTTCGTTCCTATCGACGTAACTGTCGATGACAGCTCTTATGCTTGGGGCTTATATAGGAAAAAATAATGCTCTAATATCCAGAACACTGTAGGGCAATACCTTTAAAATTAAGCAATTTGTTTGAAAAAACATTACAAAACGGACAGCAATAACCGGAATGAAGATTATTATCCAGGGTGTTTTCATTTGAATGTCAATAATTAAAGGGGAGATTTTTGAGTTTATTTTAAAAATAAAACTTCATTTGAACACAACGTAGTAACTTTTGAGATACAGATACAATCAAATCTGAAGAAATTTTATTTCTTGATTTTTTTAAATCCGATCTACGGTTTTCGTTTAAAAAATGAAAACCTCTTCTCTGCATGGTCATAACAATAACGTTAATATCGTTAGCATGTGCAAACTCTTTTCTAATTTTACCATCTTCGTGTCTGTTATGGTTTCCGATATCCCCATGGTATAGTTCTTCATCATCTACACACTCTATATTGAACTCTGAGTCCACAGTTACTT